TTGAAAAAATAATGTCACAAAACTTCCTTAATATGATGAAAGAAATAGATACACAAGTCCAAGAAGCACAGAGTCCCAGACAAGATGAACCCAAAGAAGCCGACACCAAGACACATCATAATTAAAACACCAGAGGTGAAAGACAAAGGGAGAATCTTAAAAGCAGCAAGAGAAAAGAAGTTACTTACTTACAAGGGAGCTCCCATAGATTGTCAGCTGATTTCTTAACAGAAACTTTGCATGCCAGCGGCATTGGCAAGAAATATTCAAAGTGATGAAAAGCAAGGACCCACAACCAAGATCATTCTATCCAACAAAACTATCATTTAGAATTGAAGGACAGATAAAGAGGTTTCCAGTCAAGAAAAAGCTAATGGAATTCATCAACACCAAACCAGTATTAAAATGAAATGTGAAGGGGTGAAGAAGAAGGAGAAGGAGAAGGAGAAGGAGAAGGAGAAGGAGAAGGAGAAGGAGAAAAAGAAACAAAATGGCAATGAATACATATCTATCACCAATTGAATCTAAAAAACAAATAAGCAGGACAAACAAACTCAGATACAGAGAACATGTAAAACTGTAACTGAAAAATAAAAAACGATTTAAAAAAGAACACATGATAAGTAAATACCATGTAGGATCCTGGGGGGAGGGTCATAGTGGGAAAACTGGTGAAATTCAAATGAGGTCTGCAGATTAGTTAGTAGTGTCATTACGGTAATTTCCTGCTTGTCATGATTGTACTATAATAATGTAGATGTTACCTTTAGGGGAAGCTGAATAAAGTGTGTACAAGAATTCTTTGTACCATTCCTGCAACATTTCCTTAAGACTAAAAGTATTTCATAATAAAAAATAAAAAATAATGGGATGTTTCTTAGCATCTTCCAAAGTTAAAGTTTTTTTTTTTAAATATACTATCTTTATGAAATCAAGGATTTAAACATATTTAATTTGTTTCTATCCATTACAGTTAAAATTGTCCTATCTTTGGTCAATGGGAATGTAATTAGGGTGGATCCTGAGATTTTTTTTTACTCAGGCACCCTGAGTCTTTATGACTATAATAGTTTGAAAGTGTCCTTGTTTTCCAATATATAAAAGTATTTATTAATTTCAAGCTCCAGACCCAAAATCAGCCACTTCTCCAAGGATTTACATGTGTGTGTGTGTGTGTGTTGTTTAAGTGGGCAATGATCTTTAGAGAACATAATATGAATGCTAGAGGGTACTGAATTTTTACTGTATTATTCATAGTTTTGGGGCATTTTCAATGGACATAGCTAGGAAATATGTTTTGTTTGTTTTAAAGATAAAAAGCACCATAAATTAACATTGATACTTCCAATTTATGCACAGGACTAACTGACAGTCTATGGGTGGCTCTTTCTGTTCTGCTTATTTATGAGTTTTTATTTAATGTCATTGATCTTACATCTATATTTTCTTTCAACCCTGTCAAAATTGTTTCTTCTCAATACCACCCATTTAATTCACAAACAAAAGTCTTTATTCTCTATTCCACTATTATCAACAACAATATGATTTCTCAAAAGAAATACACTCACTCACACACACACACACACACACACACACTTATTTTTGTTCTAAGATGTATTTGACTAAGGATATACAATCAACTTATTTTCAAGTCACTTGGAATAGTTTCTTTCTATTTGGTTAGGTCATCAACTAATATTGTACATAAACAGATGGCTTTGTTTCATTTTTCTTTTGTTTTTAGGAATAATTAAAATGTGAATTTTGCTTTATGACTATGTAAAATATTTACTGGCTCCCAAATCAAATTTATGAAATAAATAGTATATTCAAAGAAATCTAGCTTCTATCCCTATCTCTTTTACACTGTCCTCTCACTTTACTTATAGGTAACCATTTAAAAAGGCATGATTTATCTTTCCATTTTGTTTTAGGGTAAACATATGTATGTGCATATGAATCCATAAAAACATGGATGCATCTTAGAAAATAGCAACTGATATACATATTTTCTGCACCTTGCTCTTTTATTAAAAATCCTGGAGATTATGCAACACATAGCAATGCATAAATACAATCTTATGTTCTGTCTACAGCTGCATAGTTCTTCATTAGTTAATTCAAGTAGTCTCTTATCGATGGACACTTGGGTTGATTCTGGTCCTTGGCTTTACCAATAGTGTTCATGCTGAGGTGCTTTTGTTGATATTGACTTGGCAGAGCCTTAGGGGAGGAATCGAGGAGTGAGGCTGCTTGGGCAATAGGGTTTCTCTCACAGAGTCAGGGATTTATACTGCACATCCCAGGATGGGATTTCCATTTTCTGGAACTGTAGCCTCAGGTGGATCCTGGTTCTTGGATACTTGGGAGTAAGAGGTCCTTAAACTGTGTTTCTCATGTGGGTTAGCATGAGCTGGAATTTCTTGGTGGTTTTGACAGGCAATTATCCTGAAAAATAGATGGGAAAGAAGAGATTATGGTGTTAGTGATCAACCCATGCAAAAATCATTTAAACCCACAGATGCCTGCTTTCCCTTTAGGAGAGTTCAATCTGGGCATTCAACCTTCTTGTATTTCTCATGTTGGCACTGTAGTAGGGTTATCAGTATCTTTAGTACACTGGTCATACTGTTTCGGATAAGTCTGTCTGTATTTTCGTCTTTGTCCTAACTTCTCTCTCCTCGCATTGCCCCTGTATTATGTTGTCATATAGCTTGCTTCTGCTCTGACAAACCTGGTGCAACTCTTTTAGAATAAACCACACTGTTCTGCTTTCATTCTACTTCTCTGACTGCTTCTTAGTCTCTCTATTTTTTCTTTCCAAGCGTCTATGCTTGGCCTTTGTCTCAGAACCTTAGATGAGTCCTTGATTTTTCATAAGTAGCTTTTCAACAAAAGCTACTCTTTCCTAAAAAAAAATACATTTATTTCTCTCTGTATACAGAATTGTGCATAAAATTTCAAGGAGTTCATGAACACCTTTCCATGAGCTCGAATTCAAGGACTTCTTCTCTCACACACTCCAGGCTTCCTTTCCCAGGACCATCATTGCTGTTTAATCACAAGTGACTGCCAAATCCATATCTCACACCCAGGCCTCTTTTCTGACCTCCACATGCCCCTAGGGCATCCCTCCCACAAAATCTGTAGAACATTTCTATAGCTGAGGTTGCTTTTTCCTTCCATAGATCTGTTTCTCTGCCTATGTCTCAGTGGGTAGCTATATTATTTGACTTGCTGTCCATGCCATAACCCAGGAGATATTCTCAATTTCTTCCCTGTTATTCTCCACATCTAGTTGGTGACTCTTAGGTGGAAGCAAGGCCCTTTGCTTTCCCTCATGACACAGCCCTAGTTCAGGCCACCGTCATCTACCACCTGGAAGTCTACAGCAGCTTTTTAATTGGTCTCTGGTCTCTAGAAGCAATCTCTTCCCACCTGGGTAACTATTTTTGCACAGTAGCCAGTGAGATCTTTCTAAATTGCAAGTCTGACTACGTCACTCCACTGTTGCTGACTCTTCAAAAGCCTCCCATTGCCCGGGTGAAAAGTCTTGGCATGATACAAAAGGCCTTTCATGGTCTCTCCCTCTTCATTGTTTGCTCACCGGGGTTTCCAACTTCGATATCTACTTTTTTCCAGGATCTCTGCGCTGGTGAGATTTGATACAAAACATAATTTTACAAACATCTTATAAGCTATCAAAGCAGGTCCAAAGATCACTGAATAGAACAGGGCTGGAGAGTGGTGACCAGATCACAAATCTTTACTGAGGAGCTTCTATGCATGAGGAAATTCTGAAGGAGATGCAGAGATGAGTAATTCAAGGTTCTGTCCCATGGCCCCACAGTCCATAGAGGAGTGGACAAGAGGCATGTTCCAAATGAACCATTCAACGGCATAGTTAGATGTCTACCACATACCAGGCTTTGTAACATCAGGGACAAGGCAGTTCAATGTCCTAAGGGAAAGAACTATGGGGATGCAAGCAGGGATAGACTAGTGAAGCCTCTGTGGGAAGAAGGGGTTGAAACTTGAAGAGTGGGCAGGGAATGGGCCAGAAGAGAGGGGGTCAGAGACTGGGAGAGCCTCCTTGGATATGAACCACAGCGGGAGGGCCCTGTTCTCACCTGGGCTCCAGCCTCCAGCTCCTGAGGAGGTTTTTGGGAGCTGAAAAATGTCATTTGCATTTCCCTACATTCATATATGAAACGCTAAAATGGTTCTGAGGTGTCATGGATGCTCCCACCAAGTCTGATTGTTGCGGTTTTCACAGATAGAAAGAGTAAGGTTCAGAGGAATTGAAGTACAGTTTTCAGACATCTAAAGCATATTCTGTGAACTAGGCAATCATCATGGGAATATAGAAAAGTATGAATTTAGTTCTTTGCCCTTACAGAGGCAGAGTTATTGGCTATGGGAGTTCAAAGGAATAAAGAATCCCTTTTAGCTTACATGTAAGGTGGTAGTCAAGAAAGGCTTCTTGGAGGAGGTATGATTTGAGCAGAATCCTAAATTAAGGGTAGGATTTGCCATAGTTGGGGATGTAGGGCACATTCTCGGTATGGCAAAGCATGCTTAGGGGACAATGAAGATTCTAAATAGGTTCGGGAAAGGGGCATATAGGGAGGTTGGTCTATGGAAATAAGGCTGGTGTGGCTCAGTTGGTTGGAGCATGGTCCTGTATACCATAAGGGTCAAGGGTTCAATTCCCAGTCATGTTTGATCCCAAGTTAGGGTGCACATGGGAGGCAACTGGTCCATGTTTCACTCATGCATCGCTGTTTTTCTCTCTCTCCCTCTTCCTTCCTCTCTCTATAAAAATCAATAGAAGCATGTGTTCGGGTGAGGATTTAAAAAAAAAGAAGAAGAAAGAAAGCCAGTTTCAGCTGGCAATTCAACGAAAACAAAAGAAATAAGGCTGGTAGAGTAGGGAGGACATTGGCCTTAAATAATTCATTCTCGTTTTCCTCCTCACCTCCTACCCTGTATTCCACCAGGACCAGCTCCTCTTCTGTGATGACTGTGACCGTGGCTACCACATGTACTGTCTAAATCCCCCTGTGGCTGAGCCCCCAGAAGGTAATGGTGATGAGGTCGACAATCACAACAGCAGCTACCGCTCCCACTTATTGGGGCCCACTAGGGTTCTGGCCTTGTGCTAAGGGCTTTACATATCTTGTCTCATTGAATCATCACAACCCTACGAGGTGGGTACGACCACTACCGTTTGACAGATGAAGAAACCGAGGCACAGTTTGACCGCCTGAAATGTCAACTTGAGTACCGGAGAGATGTTTCCCAGACACATGGCTGAGGTGTGGGAGGTGGAGCTTCTCAGGCCTGGGGATGCTGGTTAAGAAGATAGGACCAAGGAGGGAGGGTCTTCCCACCAGTCCAGCTGGTCCTCTTGGAGCACTTGCGGTTTTCTGAGCAGCACTTGCTCTCCTGAGCTACAGACCCCAGCACGCTTTCAGCACTGGGATTCGGTCTCTGCATTGTGGAAGTCCAAAGAAAACAGGGCTTAGAAGAAGGGAGGGCCCGGGTGGGGCTTGAGGGTGGGGAGAGGTGCCGCTGGTCACGCTGTCTTGTCTCTCGTAGGAAGCTGGAGCTGCCACTTGTGCTGGGAACTGCTCAAAGAAAAAGCCTCGGCCTTCGGCTGCCAAGCCTAGGGCCCCGGGTCGCCGCAGGTGACTTGCTGCTGGAGAGGTGGAACCAGAGCCCAGTTCAAAGCTGATTGAGCCCCTTACTCCCTTGTATCCAGACAGACCGACTGTGAGGAAAGCCAGTGACCAGAAGGCGTGACGCGGGGAACCAAGAGGGCGAGGTGTCTGCGTGGCTCCCACACACAGGTCTCCGCACGCCAGCCCACCCCACCTTGTTTCAACCCGAAGGATCTCGCACGTTTGGAGAACAGCCCAGCCCTGCCGAGCCCTCTCCCGTTTACCCAGCACTGCCGCCCTCTCGCTGGTTCCCACCGTCCGTTATTTGTGTGTAGTCCGCTGTTTTCTATCTATTGCCTTCTAAGAAGTCTTCTCCCAGCCCCCTGCCTCCCCTGTAGGCTGTTCACCCTGAAGCCAGGGGAGGAGCCAAGGGCTGTGAGGAAGCCTCTCTGGAAACTTCTAGATCCAGAGCCTGGAGGCTGTCTTGACAGTGAAAGCCCCTCCTTGTTCCTTGTCTCTGTGAAGAGAAGAGCTGCCTTCTGAGCCGGGCAGATGCCAGTGGCATCACAGCCAGGGTGGTCTCTGCAAGGGGCTGGGGAGGGAGGTGGAGGCCCTGGGGTTGGGGGAGGGGGGAGGGAGGAGACATTCTGAAGACCGTCGTGAGGCCCTGCAACAGCCAAGAAGTATTTGCTACCCATCGGGAGCGCTCTGCTGTGCGGTTCCTTCACCCTCAGAACTGGGTTATCCTTGAGGTGAGACAAGCCACAGCCGCTGGCAGAGAAAGATGCTAAGCTCTGCCTCCCAACCCGCCGGGTCTGGAGCTACCCCTGCAGGTGGGGGGTGGAGGGTGGAGGGTGGGGGTGGGGATGGGGCAGGCGGCTCAAGATCCAGGAAGGCGAGTGAAGAAGCCTACACCGTTGAAAAATCTAAATGTTGGTAAAAAGGACAGCGCCTTCGAGAATTCAATTCAGTTCTTCAGTATTGATGTGACACTACGCATTCCCTTTCCCAAGTGGTTCTTCCTTCCGCCAAGTGTGTGTCTGCCCTTGTCTCCTGAGGCCGGACTCTGGAAATTTCAGGACTGGGGAGAGATGCCGTTACCTAGACAAATAACCGAGGTGATGGGATTGGTCATAACCAAGGTGGTGGCCATGCAGAGCCCTCAGCTCGAGGGCTGCTTTTCTCTCCTAAGCTCCCAGTACCGACTGGGCGCCTTTTTATTTTTATTTTTTTTTAATGGATCAAGAAGAAAGAGCCTCAGATTTCGAGAAGCCTGTGTTGGAAGGACACCCTGTAGGTTTGCGCGGATCGGGCTGCCTTTGAGTCTCACAGGCAGTGGCCACAGCAGCAGCCGAGCACAGTTGACAGGCTTCTAGGGGAAAATCATTTGCCCAAAGGGCAGGTTTCACTGAGCGGGACCCTCGCGCATGCTCGACTCCCCTGAAGTCGGCTCCGTTTCTGTGGCCCGCTGCTTACAACAAAGGCCGAGTTATTTTTAGCCCTTCGGCCTCTGCAGAAGCCCCTGGAGACCTGCAGAAGGGCGAAGTGGGCCACGTCCACCTGCTGCGGAGCTCATCCTGCGATGTGGCAATGCTCTTGGCCAGTGGACCCAGGCAGCCTGTTGGTCTCCCTCAGTTCTTTGCACCTGGGGCTAGAGGTAGGGGTGACTCTCCTGCAGGGAGGGGCCTGTGGCCTTGGAGGGAGTTACTTGCATGTGCCATGATCTCATTTAAAGGGCCCTGTCCAGGTGGGATTCCATCTTTCCCAGGAGGTGAGCCTGTTTGGGGAAGCTGCTGTGTTGTCACATCATTTGTTCATTTGAGGGTAATATCTCTTTTCCCGACAGCTCTGGCTCTCTATGGCCCCACTCCCCTTCCCCCAGCCTAAAGTGGGGTGTCCTCCAAGGCCGATGATTGGTTTTGAAAATAACTACAAGTTCATTTTAGAAAAAAAGTTACCAAAATTGTTCCCAAGTGCTACAATGGCCTAAATGTTAAGAAAGCAAATCTGAAATGAAAAACTGTGGCCCTACTACTTGGTGGGTCCTCCTTGGAGTATTGGCAAGTCCACTTCCACTTTATCACAGACAATGGGGGAGTCCTGTCCTATCTCCAGCCATGCCTGCTGCCCGCAGGAGCTGTGAGGGTGGGAGTGAGTCTTGCCATCAAGGAGGGTGCTGTTCCTGCCACAGTGATGGGTGCTCAGGGCTCTGGAATGGACCTCAGGAGGGCCCAGATCCCTTCCCGGTTTCCCTCCCTACAGGATCGGCCCAGCCCCTTCCTCTTTGGAGAGCAGTTTCCCCATCGGGAAAGGGATTGGCAAAGCCAGCAGTGGGACGGCACTTTCGGGGCTCTCAAGCAAACACAGTCACATCTGTCACCTTCTGGATTGAAAAAGGAAGGTGATGGTAAACTTCATATTGGCCTTTCTTTGAACCCCAGAGAATGAGCCAGAATCATAGGGTGCGCATGGATAACTAAGGTTTTCATTTTGCCTCTGGCATGGAGTAGCCGGGTGACCCTGGGCAAGTCACTCAACATCTCTGAACCTGAGTGTGCCCACTTGTGAAATGGTGATGGTAATGCTGGCCCTGTCTAGTCCAGAGACACGGGGAGACCTAAAAAAGCATAATGTTACATAAATTACCACGGAGAGCAGTGCTTGTGCGGGAGGGACTTCAGATAATTTCTGTGCCCCCTTTCTAGGGTGAGTTAGCCAAGGTTAGACACCTCCTTAGGATCTCCATTTTGACCAAAGGGGGCTTCTGCGCTAAGGGCCGTGCTGCCTGTGGTCCTGGCCACTAGCCCAAAGCTGCGACAAAGGAAACGGTGACTGTGTGTGGTGGGAGATGGGGGTTTGCCCTGGGGTAGGGGACTTCAGGATGACGTCACAGGAGATACTCCCTTCTACAAGACCAGTGCTGCCCAGGCAGGGAGCCAGCTTCTGGAGAGGACGGAGGTGCAGTTCAGTGGAACATTCACCGAAACTTTTTGGTTGACAGCCTAGCTCCGCTACTTTCTAGCTGGGGGACACTGGGGAAATGTCTTGCCCTCTTTGAGCCTCTTTCTCCACATCCGTGAGGTGGGAGATGCGGCCGCTCCAGCAGGGCTGTTAGCGGGATCAGGGGGACGCTGGTGATGCTGGCACGAAGGTCCCACACCACAGTAGCTCTGGTCCTGGTGGACGGAGGCCACCACGTGGAGATAACCATACTGTCCACTCCCAGCTCTGCTCGGTGGAACAGCCAGGGGGCCTTTGTTCCACTCTGATGTGGCTCCAGCCAAGCAGGGAGGAGGTGAGGCTGCAGGATCTAAGCCGGAAGTCGAAGCCCTCTGTTTCCTGTAGGTGTTTTTGAAACACGGCTTGTTGGGCCTGCAGAGAAGGCTGTGCGAGCCACGTTGAGAGGAAACAGAGACAAGGCCCCGGCTAGGAAACGTACATGCTAGCTCTTCTCTGCTCCCCACGGACTCGGTGCAGGCACCTCAGGCAGGAGCCGCAGGTCCCGGGCTCCCCTGTTCCTGTCATCGCCCCGGGCAGGTAGGAAGCCCAGGCAGGCAGCCAGGCAGCCGGGAGAGGCCCTTCTCCCCCAGGCTCAGCTCCGGGTGACTGGGTGACTGAACCAGCGAGGAAGTGGGTGGGTGGGTGAGTGGGAGGGAAGCCAGATTCCTTCCGAGCTGGGGAAGATAACAGGCTTTAGGCAGGGAGGGGAGGAGGGGGGCGGGGTTAGGGTTTCATAGTGATGTTCATGATACACTCCTGTGCATTTTAGTCTTTGTGCTTCAGAGTGCCATTCCTTTTGCCCCTCCCCTTAAGACGTTGAGCTAGCTATTAAGGAAGGAAAAGGAGACGGCTATTACTACTTTTCCAAGAAGGGCAAGTTTAGGGGACAGACCTGTGCTCTTCTGTGTCTTGAAGAAAGATTACTGGCCACCTCAGGCCTTGGGGCTCGGCGAAGTGGGTCCCTGTGTGGGGTGGGGAGCCCCGAGGACCACCTTCCCTGCCCACAAGCTGCTTCTCAGCCTCCCTTCCTCTCTCACTCCCTGACCCCCAGCCCTCCCCGCTGCCCACTCCAGGCCCCTCCTCAGAGCATCCCATGGGCAATGAGGATGGGCCAGAGCCCTGCTCCCCCCAGGGAAGATGTCCCCTCCGCTGCTGTGCATTGGCCACTGTGGTGGGTCCACATCCTCTCTCACTCCAGGAGGGGGCCAGAAACCCAACTCCCACTTAGGAAGAAGTCCTGGAGCTAAGTAGCGAGGGGGGGGGGGGGGATAGAAAGGAAGAATTATTACAACCCATTGCCCCCTGCCCCCCTTAGGCCTGACAGCGTTGTTGTTGTTGTTATTTTAATTATTTTTTACAGGTATTTTAAATAATATTTTATTGATTTTTTTTTACAGAGAGGAAGAGAGAGGGATAGAGAGTTAGAAACATCGATGAGAGAGAATCATCGTTCAGCTGCCTTCTGCACACTCCCTACTGGAGATGTGCTCGCAACCAAGGTACATGCCCTTGACTGGAATCGAACCATTAAAGGCCAAACCTTTGCCCAGTTCTGGACACCAAGGCAGAGGTCCTCCGGCCTCCTGCTCCCTGTTGGTTGGGGGGGCTTCTGAAGGCAAACAGGGCAGGAGCAGTGCCCTCCGCTGGCTGGAGGTGGGAGGTACAGCGGCCTCCTGGCTGCACCCCTGTGGCTTACAGGGAGGGTGTCCTGACTTTCTGTGAGAAGCTGCCCAGGTCCCTCCTGGTCTGGCTGGGGAGGTGGGGCTGGTGGGGGAAGAGATTGCAGCAAAGGCTGGCAGGCACCCAGGCACCGCTACCAGAGGGCAGGCCCAGGAGGCCAGCCGCGGGGATGGGAAGGGGGGAACCTGGCCAGTCCTGCCCTATGCCACTTGGCAAAGCAAAAGGTGTTCCTTCGTGCGTGCTCCCCTGTTTGGGATCGTACCCCCACCCCAAAGGATGTCTTTGGTGTTCCCATCAGCCCGGTTTCACCTGGATCCCCGGTGAGGGCTGGGGAGGACGCTGGGAAGCCGCAGATGCTTGCCTTGCCTCAGGCCTGTGAGCCTCCCTCCCAGCCTTGCAGCCCTGCTGTGCCCTCGGGTCTCCTGGATCAGTGGTCAGTCTGGGGGCTCTCTTCCCCGTTCCCGGACACAGAACCTTTTTCTGATGCTCTGCCAGGGGCCCCAGCCGCCCGCCCTGAGTGCAGAAGGTGCAGAACAGATGGGTTAGTTCGGGCCTTGGGATGCACCAGAGGAGGGTCTTTGACCCTGGGAATCTGGGTCCTTCCTAAGATGGCTGGAGACCCTCAGTGGTGGTGGTGGTGGGGGCAGCGGAGGTAGCTGCTGAGCGAGGTGCGAGGGAGGAGGGCGGAGGAAGATGCTGGTGCCCGCTGCTCAGGTGCCCCCCTGGGAGGATGGAGAGCCCCAGACGGGCAGAGTGGGGGCCGTTGGAGGGGCAGCGGCGGCTCCCAGGAAGGCTTGCTGGTGGCACCCTCTCGCTGCTTCCCCCCAGGCCCCTGAGGAAGGACCAGGAAACGGGGAGGGTGGAGTGGGGGCCTGCCTGGTCTTCATCCAGTTGTTTTCCCAGAAGGAATGCTCCCTGGGGTGTGTGGGGGGGGTGGGGGGAGGGATTGGAAGAGGGTAGGGTCCCAGGGAAGGCTTTTCTGGGCGGAGAGCCTGGCTGCGACCCCAGATGGCGAGACCTGAAGTAGCTCCCAGGGTCCGTGAGGCTGTGAGGTATGAGGGGGTCAAAGGGCACAGGAATGCCTCTTGGGCCCTGGCTCTTTGTTCCCAACGCCCTCCCTTCCTTTGTTCCGGTGCCTCGAAGGAGGGCCACCGCAGGGGTCTCTGGGCCCCCAGGAGAAGGAAGTGTTTGTGCTGATGGTGAGGTTTCCCAGGGCAGGCCAGAGGGAGGCGGGAGGGACTGGCGGGCAGCCAAGCCCCCTCTGATAAGGTTACAGAGAGTGACCTCCAGCCCAGGCGGTGAGCGAAGTGGCCCAGCCTGGCGAATGAGCCTCGCTGGGGTGGGGAGAGAGGGCGGGGAAGTGGTCCCTTAGGAAGTGGGGAGGCCCCTGAGCCCCCGGGACCTTCAGGTTCCCTTAGTAACCTCCCCAGGCTGTAGTTACATGCCCCGCACCCCGTTTGCTTGCCTATTATTTCTGTTACTGCCATTACTATTGATGGTGAAACAGGGATATACTCCCCCCCCCCCCCCCCACACACACACACACACTTAGTGAACTAAAGCACACTGTGTATGGCCCCAGGATGAGAGGGAGAACCTGCCCACCACCAGGAGCTGCCGGACAAGACTCATTTCCCCAGAGATTCCCCCCCCCCCCCCCCCCCCCCCCCCCCCCCCGGGCGAGTTCCCCTCGCTTTCACCTCTGCACAGCCCCAGGGTGGTGTGGAGAGCCTTGTGCTTGGAAAGCCACTGGCCGCAAGGACTCTCCTCTCCCTGCCGCTGCGTTGGGGAGTAGTTGGGGACTTGGGTGGAAGGTCTTGCTTCTGCTTTCTCGTAAAGGGGTACGGAGATTTTCTGGGTAGAATTGGGACTGTGGTTTGTGTTGACTTTGCCTTTTTGAGTTTAGACCTTGGCTCTCCTTCCTCACCCTGCCATCCCGCTCCTGCGCCGCCCCTCCCTCCCCTCCTGCCACCGCGGAGTGGTGGTGAGAAGAAGCAGTGGCACGAAACAGAGCTATGCCCCCTGCACATTGCCACCGCGGAGCTGGAGAGCCCACGTTAGAAACAAAGCAGAGACACTGCTGCTCCTGTGTGAGTGCGAGCACGGCCACGGGATCTCAGAGCAGAGGCGGTGGGAGCAGGCGGCTGCAGAGGCGGGCGGGCGGCACCTGTCCTCACATCGTTGGGGAATGGAGGGGTGTCTACCCTAGATGCCCACCACTCTGCCCTCCTCACCACCTCTCCCGGGAGGAAAATGTACACATTTCTTGCCTGCTGTGAGAGATTGCTGAACAGGCTGGTACCAGGTAAAACGCTTGGCAGGGCACAGGCCACGGGCAGGGCAATGCTCTGGATCCCGCAGGGGCTGGAGAAATAAACCCCATCCTGGCCCGACCTCCGAATGGCTTTTCGGCCCTGAGATCACACTCTCCCAGAGCATCTTGTGTCCGGTGGCATCAGGGACGGGGTAGTGTGTCTATGCCTCTGTTTAGGATGCATGATTGGCCGTGGATGGGCAGGCTGAAGCATCTGGTGACCCTCCCCTCCCCCCCCTCCCCCCGAGGCTGGGGAGAACGCAGGGCCGCAGCCTGGCTGTGCTATGTTTTCCCAAGCACCTCTGCCCTGGGAAGAGGAACACTCTCCCTAACAGGAAGACAGCGTTTGTGAGGTTGTGAGATTGTGAGATGAGGAGTACCTGGGTGGGAGTGTGTCACGCGCCAAGGGGATCTGAGTCTGTGCCTCTACCTGCTGCTGTGGACTCCCGGGCACTGGCCAGGCCGGGCATTTGCGGGCCGATCCAAGGTGGAAAGGGAACCACACAGTGGCCTCGTCCAGCCCCCACACGAGAAAGCAGAGCCGGGGAGTGGCGGCCCTGGTCCTCACGCAGGACTGGGTGGACCCCCATGGAGTCCGGAGTCCGCAATCAGTTTGTCTCAGTCGCACAGGGAGTTTCTGGAGTGACAAGGGGAGCGTGGGTGTGTGTGGGAGGAAGCCCCCGGCAGAGACGGTTCCAGGAACCCTCCCATGGCCACCTTGGGCCGTCATTTCCTAGCCTCCCGCGTCACTAGGCTCCCTTGTCTGCTGACAGCTTCAGTAAACGGCCCCATCTCCCCTCCTCTCCGCAATGTCCCGCCGGAGTTCCGCTTCCAGTTCTCCCGGAGAAGCCGCCCCAGCTCGCCGTCAGGCTGAGTGCTTGCGGGAGGCAGGTGTCTGCAGGTGGCAGCCCAGGGGTGGCCGGCAGCCTGTGGCTTCTCTGCGGAGGCGGCTCCGGGGAGGCACTGCGAGGCCCTGGACAGAGGCGGCTCCCAGCAGGCGGGGCCTTGGTGATCTCTGTGGAGAGTCAGGAACACGAGGCTTTCAGGATACTTGGCTGGGAGTCTGGTTTTAGAATGCTGGGAGGCCGAAATGCATTCTGGGGTTTAATCCACCCACCCATTTGAAAGCCTGTGGGCGGGTTCTTTGGCACCGAGCCTCCTTTGATGACGTGCTTCACTTGGTCTCCTGTGCTGGCAGGAGGCGGGGAAGGGCCATCCCCCTTGAATCCTATCCAGGCCAGACTGGCAGCACTGCCCCAGGCTCCCAGCCTGGCACCCAAGACCCAGAACCCAGGCTCCAGGAGGGACAGACACTGCTGGTCCAAGGGGGTCTCCCTCTCGCCTCCACTCGAGACGCTTAGGTTGAGAACACAGTTGGTGCAGACTCCTCAGCGGGGTGCTGACCCACCGACCCGCTAGGAAATGGAGACCCAGAGGAGGGACGGGCCTGTCCACGCCCCTCAGGCCCCCAGTGCAGGAGCCAGAACTGGTCCTCACCAGGTCCGCTGCCCCCTTTCCAAATGTGTTCAGACTGAGGGCGATTTTGAAGCCCAGTTGCCATAACATTCCCCTGGCAGAGCCAAGAAATGGGGCATCTCTGCCAGGAAGTCCAAAGAAAGGGATTTTCTTCTGCCTAAAGCCCTGCCATGCTTCTCCTCAGGGAGAGGCTGGTTCTGTGGCTCTGGTGAACCGGGCGTTCCTCGGGGTGGGCTCTGGGCCCCGCGGTAGAAAGGATGGAGAGATCCTCAGAAGGAGGCACCTGCCCTAGCTGGTCTGGCTCGGTGGATAGAGTGTTGTACTGCAGACTCAAGTTGTCCCAGGTTCGATTCCGGTCAAGGGCATGTACCTTTGTTGCGGGCACATCCCCGGTGGGGAGTGTGCAAGAAGCAGCTGATCGATGTTTCTCTCTCATTGATGTTTCTAACTCTCTCTCTCCCTCCCCCTTCCTCTCTGCAAAAAATCAATATATTAAAAGAAAAAAAAAAAAGAAGGAGGCACCTACCCTGATGCCGTGGGAGGAGGCTCCTGCTTGTGCGGGCTCTGTGAAGAGCAGGGGGCCTTTGTTTGAGCCGGAGTGTGGGAAGGGGTTAGCTTAGTTGTCACTGCCCTGTCCCAGCTGCGAGTAGACCCCGAAGGCCTCACAGCCTCGGCAACCAGCCCTGGACAGCTTCAGTACTGCAGACTCAAGTTGTCTGGGAGAGTGTGCAGTGGGCTAGGGTTGGATGGCTGTGGGCTAGTTCTGGAAAGGAGACCCCAGCAATATCCCAGTGACCTCTGATCCCCACGTCTCCATGTTCCTCTCTAGACCGGTAGGCGATGCATACTTGCGTTGCTTCTTCCAGGTGTGGGTACAAAAGAGGGGGGCCATTTCCCCAGCCAACCCCACCCCCCATACTTCTTTCTTGTCTCTTTTACGCCATGCTCCAACTCTTTCTGAAACTCAGTCATAAAAGAATGGCCAGGAGCGTGGACCTCCCGCAATAGAAATGTCTGCTACTGAGGGTCTCCCTTTCATACTCCCGGAACGCCCTCCTCACTGGACCTCCTGTGGGCTGGACAGCTCAGAGTGTTTGCCTCGCATGCCGGGGACCTCAGACAGTGTCAGGACCGAGGCAGCACAGCTGTCATGAGGTCAGGGAGAGGGGTGCAGACTTGGGAAGCTGTGTCACGGTCTGAAGACATCTCCACTGGCTTCTGTAAAAAGCAACCACAGCTACAGACAAAAGTCCCCACCCCACCTCCCTACTCTGATGACGTGTGCCGTGACCGATGTGTGCCGTGCCGTGGTCTCAGTGTGTCGTGTGTGTGCACTGCTCCTGTCTTCCGGGGACACTCTTGCTCCCGTGTGTCCCGTTCCCACCCTGTGGCTCCCGATGTACAAAGTGCTGTGGTGTTCCTGCTCGAGGAAAATGCAGGTCTGTGACTTTGCAGGGAGCTGCTCTATGTGAGTCTCCAGGAAGATGTCCAGGTTGGAAGCAGCCCACATCTGGATTTGGACTCCCTGACAAGAACTCGCCCGGAGCAGAGGCAGCGTCAATGGCTTGTTCAGAGGGCTGGCTGGAGGGGCGGCCCCGGAACCCGGATCCCGGATCCCTCCCCCTCTCCCTGCCTTGGCTCCTGCCCTGACCCCAACCTGGTTCTGGAGAGGCCGAGACCAGAGCCCACGTGAGGCAGGCACCGGGCAGTCTTTGTCTGTCGAACCCTGGACACGCCAGCCCCCTGTGGAGCCCCTGCAGGCTCACAAAGACTGACGCACAGGCCTGCCCCGTCCTTGCTGTGGTTGTATCTTGTCCTGTGGTTGGCTAGCAGTGTTGATGACCTGTGTAGTGAACCTTTTTTGTCTGCAACGTAGAGAATGTGTAAACAAATAAAAGGCTTTAAAACCCATGGGAACTTTTGGTTATTGCCCCCTCCCCCAACGCCAGTCTTGACAAAACCAATTGCACGTGTATAGATCCTGTGGAAACAGAGCCTTTCCATGTTGGGGTATGCAGTGAGACTACGTGTGTGAGTGCACACGTGTGTGCATATGTGTGTGTGTGTGAGCACATGCATGCGTGTGTGTCAGGCTCCAGAGAAACACTGGTGCTTTGGTGTTTGTAAGGAGACTCCAGGAGTCAAGCATTCCAGGTCTCTGTTGCTCCTGGCGCTAGGATTCTGACCCTGACATCCACTTTGAGCTCCTGGGAGGCCGCCATCAAGGCAGCTTTCACCAGGGGGAGGGGGGGAAGGGGCTTTGCCAAGAGCTTCCTCTGAGGACACCCCTCTGGGGAGAGGCAGGGCATTTGGAAGAGAACCCCTAAAACTTCGGGGGTCAGGGATGGGAGTGGGGGAGAGACCTCAGCTCAGGACCCAGCATGAGGGCAGCTGAGTCACCGCTCCTTCTCTCTCAGAAACCACCTTCCCCACAAGGCAGGGAGGTGGTGCCCTGGGAGAGGAGCAGGCATCTTCGCAGAAGACATACCTGCCCTGAGAGTCCCCAGCCTGCTTAGCAACCACCTTAAAGGGACAGTCTCTGGGAGCAGGACTCCCAGGCCACGCAGGACTTGGTTGCCCAAGGCTGCATGCTAGGAGCCAGTCTTCCAAACACAAATGTCAGCTCGGCAAGTAAATGAAGCCTGTCCTGTAGGCCAGGCACCGGGAATGACGCTGAGGAGGCGAGGCCCTGCCCTCAGGGGCGCACAGGCCAGACAGGTAGCAGCGCCCCGTGTGGAGGGCGGGTCAGCGAGGAAACCTCCGGAGGTGGACGCAGGGCAGGGACTCTGGGCCCTGTCAGCCGGCGTGCTTTCAGCTGGATCTACCTGTGCCTCCCAGGAACACACAGGTGGACATGGAGCGGGAAATACCAGGTCACGTCGGGCCCCTCTCCCAGTGGGCGCTCCCCTGCTCCTCAGCAGCCTCTCCTTTGCGAGGCATAATGCGGTGGTTGTTTCTAGCGCAGGAGACGCTGGTGGTTGCTGCGGACACGGGCCACGCAGGGGACTGAGCAGAAAGGCCAGGTGGGCGCCTGGCTGGCAATGCTGAGCGCTCATTCCAGCCACGGGGCTGGGGGGCGGGGGGAGGGTGGGAGGAGGGGGAGAGACTCAGGCTCCTGACAGAGTCCAGGCAGGAAGAGGCTGCACCAACACCCACGCCAGGCCTTTCCTCCGCACGGGGGCGGTGACGTCTCTGCTTTGACCCCAGGGACCCCAGCTCTGCCTCCCCGGCCCAGATGCTCAGAGGGCCGCGGGGGAGGCAGGAGGTGCACAAGGGCGGCCGGGCCTGGGGAAGCTATCTGACACAAACCAGGAGCCGACATGCTCCCGGGGAGTCGCAGGGACAGGGGAGGGACCCAAATTATCTTCAGACAAACTCAGAGCAGAATAGATTTCCTTTGTTTTTTCCTTGGGGGGAGGAAACGTGTGTGTGTGTGTGTGTGTGTGTGTGTGTGTGTGTGTGTTGGGGGTGTGTGAGGGGGGAACTAAGAGGAAGGGACCACTGGGGTAACACTCTCATTAGGGTCCAGGGAGTGGCGGTGTGGCAGACAGGACACTGGGACAGGAGTAAGAGGGCTGGGCCTGGTGTTACCCACGTGGCTCATTGGGGACATTATTTTATTTTATTATTTTTAAAAATATATTTTATTGATTTTTTTTAATAGAGAGGAAGAGAGAGGGATTGAGAGTTAGAAACATCGACGAGAGAGAATCATCAATCAGCTGCCTCCTGCACACTCCCTACTGGGTACACGCCATTGACTGGAATCGAACCTGGGACCTTTTAGTCCGCAGGCTGACGCTCTATCCACTGAGCCAAACCAGTTTCAGCTCACTGGGGACATTTTAGATACATTTTAGACATTTTAGCATGAGTTTCTACCAAGCCAGCCCAAGACACAGGCAGGTTTGGGCCAGGAGCCCCCAGACCAGGTGGATTTGCGTGCAAACACCCAGGGCTGTCCTCACGCTCGCCCACCGCACCCAGGCTCACGTGAGGCAGAGGCCCCGGGGCAGCTGAGGAAGCCCTTCTCCTCTCAGCCCCTTGCAATGGGTGGTTTCATGCCAGACACAATGAAGCCAGACGTGTAGGTAGGTGGACATCACTGGTGTCCTGAGTAGATGCTGCGGAGGCCTGGGCTGGTGGAGGCACTTTGGGGGGGAGGAGGGGAGTGCCCAGAAGATTCCTAAGCCCCAAACGTCAACTCAAATCATGGATCAGAACAGCTCTGATTTTCTTTCATACAGTGCTGCTTCTACTGCTTAAGAAAACACAAACCACAGCGACTGTAAACCGTGTTTGGGGCTACACAGTGGGAGGGGCTGCAGGGGTGTCCCCCGGCCTTTGTGGAAGGAAGTGCGATGATTGCGAGGCCACCAAGGGCCCCTGGGCCCTTGACCTCCACCGCCCCCTCCAAGTACAATGGACCTGGTCCCTGCTCCCAGGTTTCTCTTAAAGGGGCCTGACCTGCACCCAGCTCCTCCCCGGTTTCTCTTGAGCAAAAGGGAGGAGCCTCTGGGTCTTGACCAGGAGGTTTCCCTTCCTCCTCCCTTGGGGTCCCTGCAGCCTCTGGTGCTCACAGCCCTCCTTCCCCCATGCCCTCCGCCTACCAAGGTGCTCTGCCTCCATCACAGCCTCCAGCTGTGCTTTATCGGGACCAGAACAACAGTGTGCTCCCCAGGCTGGGGGGCTGAGAAGGTTCTGGCTAAACTTTAGGTAATTAGCATCGTTAATGCTCGGCTCTGTACCGTTACAGCTGTGAGCCTCATTAACGTGTTCTCAGGGGGAGGCCAGCGAGGTTCAGGTGTCAGCTCGGCTCCTCGCTCCTCGCCAGCGCCCACCTGCCAGGGCCAGGCCTTCCCTCGGGAGCCTGCTTCATTTCCATCCCTCCTCCCGCTCCCGCTCCCTGTCTGCTGGCATCTGGTGGGGGGGGGGGTGTCTCCCTCCTTCCTGCCTCCTCTCTTCTTCTGCACAGGAGCTGGGGCGGCTGGGGGCCTGCTCCCGCTCCCTCCCACCTCCCTCTCAGAAACCTGCCTCTAGGAGGGAGGGCAATGGCTGCCAGGCCTGGGCCCCAACTCCGCTATGAAAGAAAGGGTTCTCACCGGGTGGGGGACCCGAGCCTGCCCTCTGAGTACTGGGCTCTTTGTCCAGGGCTGTTCTTTCCTTTAATTCCCACCCCCGAAGAGAAAAGCCAAGGTCCGGTGCCCTCACCCACCTCCTGGCTGGATTTCCCAGGCTCGACTGGCATCTGCTGCCGGGGCCCCTCATCGGAAAGAAACCCGAGTCCTAGTGGCTTTAATTTCTGGGATTCCTGATTCCTGGGAGGGGTGGCAGGGGACAGGCTATTTGCCAAACAGAGAAATATGAACCGCTCTCCAACCCCCTGGAAACCTTGAGGAAAATAATGCCAGTCCCTCTAGGGACTAAACACGGGCTCAACCCCAAACAGAGGGAAGACACAATTCCGGAGGCCTCCGGGGGCTGAGGGGCTGAGGAGGGCCCAACAGGGGCCCAGACCCTTGGCCAGCGCCCCTTCCACGCCCCTCTGTGTCAGAGGGTCATGGAGGCCCTTTTTGATGAGCACAACCTGACCATCTGCTGCGGGCTGCCGGCGGGGGACACCTGGAGCTCCGTCTCGGCCTCAGAACCTCCCGAGGAAGCAACGGCACCAGCAGGTACCCAGGCGACCTTAGTTCAGGAGGCAGTGCCGTGTGGTCCCGGATGCAGGCACGCAGGGGCACGCGCTCAGAGGGGCCCTGGAGCAGGGATATGTAGGATTCAGATGGCAGGGATCTGGGTTGGGGTGGGCTTTCCAACTGGAGAAAGCAATGTGAGCAAAGGCCCCCCTCTATTCCAGGGACGTGGGGCTAGTGCTGGGTGCGTGTTTTGGGCGCTGGGACCTGAGTTGCATCCCGGATCTAGGGCAAACTCTTCCACAGGGCCCTGGTGCCTTCCTGACTCCGCAGAGGGCCTTCTTAGGAAGCTGAGAGCGGGTGTCAGAGGCTCTCAGAACCTTTAGCCCGTGAGGGGAGAGCCTGGGGTCCCCCAGCAGCTCTCCTGCCACCTGGCTTGACGTGTGGGATTAGATCCTTGTAACATTTACCCTGTCTCTCCACCCTCTTAGCCAGCAGTTCTCAACCTGTGGGTCACGACCCCTTTGGGGGCCGAACGACCCTTTCACAGGGGTCGCCCAAGACATCCTGCATATCAGTTGTTTACATTACGATTCTTAACAGTAGCAAAACTACAGTTATGAAGTAGCAAAGAAAATAATTTTATGGTTGAGGGTCACCACAACATGAGGAACTGTATTAAAGGGTCTCGGCATTAGGAAGGTTGAGAACCACTGCTCTAAGCTATTCTCAGCTCTTTAAACCAGTGTTTCCCAAACTTCTCTCATGATGAGAATCACCTGGTGGAGTTGTTAAAATACAGATTTCTGAATCCCAACTAAGAAGTACTAAACTAGAATTTTTGGGAACATATAGGTAAAATTGTATACTTAATTAGTGCTATACAATTTTACCTACATGTTCCCAAAAATTCTAGTTTAGCACTTCCTTTTTTTCTCTCTTTTTAAAAAAAATATATTTTATTGATTTTGTACAGAGAGGAAGGGAGAGAGATAGTTAGAAACATCGATGAGAGTCATCGATCAGCTGCCTCTTGCACACCCCCTATTGGGGATATGCCTGCAACCAAGGTACATGCCCTTGACCGGAATTGAATCCGGGACCTTTCAGTCCCCAAGCCGACGCTCTAGCCATTGAGCCAAACTGGTTTCGGCTAGTTTAGCACTTCTTAGTTGGGATTCAGGAATCTGTATTTTAACAACTCCACCAGGTGATTCTCATCATGAGAGAGGTTTGGGAAACACTGCTTTAAACCTTAGTCTGGATCCTTTTCAG